ACGAGGATGAAACGAGTCAACGTGGAAAATAGACACTGATTTGTGCAAAACAGGCATGACCATAGGGAGGCACTTTGATGCCCTACCTTGGAAGTTTTAAAGGCATGTACTGATCCATACTGGTGTATGAATGGTGTGGCATACATGATCGGGTATGGAGGGGAAGTGAGAATCTAGGGGGAAGAAATGACTATGATGATACAATCGACGTTACATTGTATTGGTGTATGAACGGGGTGACATACCTGATCGGGTGCGAGGAGTGCAAATGTAGTAAAGGCAGGCAAGCACAGACAAGACCTGAAGGGATACTTAGGGAGCAACTTCATAGGTAGAGGAACAGAAGGAGAGATAGAGCAGAGTGACTAGAGACACTGCCTGGACTGCAATAGACAGGAGGAGTGCAAATGTAGTAAGCGCAGACAAGACTTGTAGAGGGGTACAGAGGGGAAGAGATCAACCCATAGGAGGAGAGGCAAAAACATGAAAAGAGCAGAGTGACTACTAGAGACTCGGCCCAGGCCGTGATAGACGGGAGGGGAAAAGATTTTGATGCGTTCGAGACAGGTCCGAATAGGCAGTATAGACCGTAGTAGACATGCACATATATATATATATATATATATATATAAAGAAAAAGAAAAAAAAAGAAAAAAAAGAGACGAAGATGAAACAAGACAGACACAACAATGGCAAGAGATAAAGTGAACATGTATTTCATAGCGTACGGTGCTCTCAACTGGGCTTGACAAGCAATCAAATATCAGGGGGACGTTGTCTGCAGTGGCAATCGATCGCTGATAAGTTGGCAGCATCTGGGGACAGTGCAGGACAGATCACGGCAACGGAAAACAAAATGGCGAATATATTTATATGTTGAATTGCTACAACTCATTATCCTTCTCATCATAGACATACATAGCTGCTAAAGGCGGGTCATACTTTTTTGTTCCGGGTTTGGTTGACGTGGTTGAATGCGGTAAGTTAAGCTTGGGCATAGTTTTGGCTTTCATCGCTTTAGACCATTGCACACCAGGATGGACCATTCAAAACCAAACCGCAACGAAAAATTATGACCCACCCTGTGGGTCATAATTCACAGCACTGTGGATCAAAATTTCCGAGACGTCTCAAAAGTCGTTTGAGACGTCTCAAAAGTAGCCCACCCTGTAGGTCATAATTCACAGCACTGTGGATCAAAATTTCCGAGACGTCTCAAAAGTCGTTTGAGACGTCCCAAAGGTAGCCCACCCTGTAGGTCATAATTCACAGCACTGTGGATCAAAATCGAGCCTGCTTATTGCGTGCAAAGGTTCTTCATTTGGATCAACAAAAAATGCGGTATATAAGTTAGCTCTCAGTAAAGCGATTACTACAGTGGAAGGAGGAAGAATAAGCTCTACTTCATGTCACTTTCCTTATCGTATCCGAAGCTCAATTATTCTTTGTGCTCTGTAATTTCACCTACCTGCGACAGCGTTACAGAGCCTCCCATGCCAAAGTCAACGAGCTTAGCATTCTCCTCGGTCAAACAGTCCAGAAAGAGCTCCAACACGCTCAGCTGGGCTCAGAATGAAAGGAGGAAAGGCAGTGCCCCTACCTGCAGTGGCGTTGCACAGCCCTCCCATGCCAAACTGAACGAGCCTTGCATTCTCCTCCGTCAAACAGTCGAGAAAGAGCTCCAACACGTTCAGCTGGGCTTCAGAAAGAGGAGGGGGAACAGATGGAACACAGGAGATGGATGCCTCACAGACGTTTCAGATGCAGGGAGAGGAGAGGAGGGTAGAACAGATGGAGAGTTGAAGGTAAGGTGAATGGTTTACGTACAGAATCAATCTGCAAATGCAGGCACCTAGCACTGGAAAGTGAAGGATGGCAAGTGGGGAAAAATACAACTTGCTTCTACATTCAGTTTCGATACAGTTTCATTACAGTCACATAGCCTCGATACAGCCACCGATAATCACCTTGTGCAGGTAGCCATAATTGATCGGGTCATAGGCGAAATTGACCAGGTTGCTAATAAGGCGTTTCAGTAGAGTCACGCAGCTTCGATACAGTCACACCCAGAAAGCAACAACCACCCACCTTGCGCAGGTAGCCATAGTTGATCGGGTCATAGGCACATGGCCATATTGCTTATAGAACCTTTCAGTACAGTCACGCAACTTCATCAAAGTCACACCCGCCCAGCTACAATCACCTTCCGCAGTTAGCCATATAGCTGATCGGGTCATAGCGAAATTGGCCAGTTTGATAATAGGACATCCCAATACAGTCATACAGCTTCAAAACAGTTTCGATACAATCGCACACAGCTGTTATCACCATGTGAAGGTAGTCATAATTGATCGCTCCATCAGCCGAATTCGCTAGGTTAGGTTTGAGAGTCGACGCCTTAATACAATCACACCCACACAACGTCAACCAATCACCTTGCACAGATAGTCATAGCTGATCGAGTCCTTTCATACGAATTTTGCCAGGTTGCTCACCCACCTTTCAGTACAGTCACACAGCTTCAATATAGCTTCCATACAATCACACCAGCACCACCTCAACCGCTCACCTTGCGTAAGCAAACATAGTTCGCTAGGTTAGCGATTCGCTAAAAAATTGGCTGATTGCAAGGACGGCTGGGTTGTCCGGAGCCTGGTGTCTCATTCTTGCCCCCACAAGTCGAGAGGAGAAGGCGAAAGTGGAGTTTTATGGGAAGAAGTCAGAGGTTGAGAGGGAAAGTGTTGGTCACTTTGAGACGCCTTAGGACTCGATAATTATCACCAAATGTGGTGGTGCCACCAGCACTATCCTGAAAGGTTCTGACACCACCGGGTTCTTAGAACCTTCCATGACTTCACCAGGATATCCTGGATCTCCGAGCTCCCCACCAGACTCGTAATCCCGAACGCACACTCGTATTTACGGAGTAGAATGCAATCGAAGCCTACCTGAAGGTACTCGAGTCGCGTCGTTCCGCTCCTCCCCTGTCTCTCCGTCAACCGCGATGCCGTGCTAAACATGGTCCTGCGACTTCGAATCGCGATATGGTTCAAAAACTTTTAATAAACAGCGCCGCGTTCCGCATGACATGGCCTTGCGTGTTAGAAGCGCGATGTACTCTAGAGTCGATCCGATTCTTGAGGGGCCTAAAAAACCAAACACTCGGATCGTCTCTGCTCTCTGTTTCACTCAACCGAGCGCCTCTTGAGCAGCGGCGAACGTCGCTGCGAAAGTCGCAGCGGTGCTCCATGGACTCTTGGTACGCTTTACTGTGTCTAAAGTTACTGGCGTTCCCCGAAGGACCGGCGGGTAGAGGCATCGGACGGCACACCGGAGCTTGACGGTAAGTGTTAGGAACCGGCGTATTGAGTAACTCGTTAATACGCGATGACTTGATTAATGTGTTGAATCAAGGTCATTGCTTAAAGTTGAAAACGATGGTGGGCTGGGGGACCACTTCGATGAAGCCATGTCAGAAGCCGTGGAAGTCACGCATTCTAATGGTGATGGCTTCGGTTCAGAACGACTGATTGGCCAATCGGAATCTGGAATGTCGTGGAGCTGACGCGGCTTGCGGTGAAAAGCTCCTAACCGAGGCGTGTTCACGCATTCCCTTCCAAGTGCGCACCGAAATTGTTCACCAAACGGCCAGCGTGTCGTCGCCTTTATGTGACTCCCTGAACACGCACGACATGACTTTCCAATCTGCGCCTTGAAAATTGGAGAGACGATGCTTACAACCAGAACCAGAATGTATGATCGCTAAGCGTCGGTCCTATATTAGTTGAATCGTTAGTGTGTCGCAGGTATTTCCCTATCCCTAAAAAAAGACTCATATTACGGGTAGAACAAACAGTTGTACCTGAAATTGAGCAATTTCACGAAGCTCCCACGAAAGATGAGGACCCGTTCAAGGAGCTGATGGACTGACTCGTTTCAAACTACGGTCGAACTTCCAAGCACGAACTAGTCCACCAAGCTTCATGCTGGAGCTGACGCGGAGTGGGGACCACAGCAGGAATGGCCACCCTTTTATTCAACCGTTGATCACCACGATCAAAGCCTTCAACTACCCCCCAACTCCCGTTGCGATCACCCAGCAGCTTTGATGGGTGACAGAACACATTTAGACCGCTGCTTTCTCGAGCCGCCGCTACCAGCAGCGGATAAGCTGGTGCTGACTTTCCTGTCCCTCAGCCTCAGGCAGTAGTAGCGGCGGCAGAAAGGCTTCGGCTCACCGCCAAGCTCGAAAACCTGGCGGCTGACTAATCCCAAGGTCACATCCCGTCAGTCACCAGAGCACTGCAGTTTTCCTCCCACCTGCTGTGCTGGCTGGCAGAGGCTCAGTCAAAGCAGTTCAGACACTCAACTGAGGCTGAATCCCTTCAAAGGCTCAAAACATCCAGTTCTGGGCCTCTTTCTCGCTGCATTTTCTCTCGTCCGGTTCTAGCACAGAGGGAAACTCGTCCGTACGCAGCGTCAGCCGGATAGTCGGCATCTATGGAGGCCGTCTGATCTGACCGTTAGCCGGTGACGGACCGAGTGGCGAGCCGGTTAGGAATACTGCTCCGAGCCGTGCGTCTGGTATAGCCTAGCTAGCGGATTCTAGCTCGCTTGGTCGTTAGTCCAGCTCGCTTCGGAGAGAGCATCACGCTTCGCATTGTTCGTCGCGTTCGCGTTGTTCGCCGTCGCGTTTCGCATTCTTCGTCGCGTTTCGCATCTTTCGCCGCGTCTCGCATTCTTCGTCGCGCTGCACCGCGTTGCTCGTCGCTGTTCCAAAGAACGCCTTCACGACCACAGCAGTAGGAGTAGCAGCAGCAGTCCTAACCAATGGCGTCGGACGGAGGCGCGGCGGGGGAGGATCCGCTGTGCGTGGAGCTCCCGGAGCGACTCGCCATCCTGCCGTTCCGCAACCGCGTGCTGCTGCCGGGGGCCATTGTCCGAATCACGTGCTCCGAACCCAGCAGGTTCGTATTTTCCCAGACCTCAAAGAGTAAGCAATGGCGTGGGTTGGAGGGGCAGCGGCGGAGGATCCGCTGTGCGTGGAGCTGCCAGAGCGGCTGGCCATCCTGCCGTTCCGCAAGCGCGTGCTGCTGCCCGGGGCCATCATCCGCATCACGTGCTCCGACCCCAGCAGATATTACTGCCTTTGCCGAGTAGGTCGTTTCGTGTAAGTCCCCAGAGCTACTTTTGGGTCCACTCAAGACAAGCCGAAGCGGCTGGCCATTCTGCCGTACCGCAACCGCATGCTGCTGCGGGGGCGAATAATCCGCATCACGTGCTCCGACCCCAGCAGGTGGGTGGAGAGTCGTCCTGAGGGTGTAGCATATGCGGGGTGGTCCATAGTACCTAGTAGTAGTACCGAATCACCTGATCTGAATGTTTACGTCTGCTCCCGTTCCCCCCTCCACGTGGCAGCGTGCGGTTGGTGGAGCAGGAGCTGTGGCAAAAGGACAAGCCCGCGCTGATTGGAATCGTACCTGTTATAGAGCCTCCTGGTTCCGCGGATAGCACTGGAAGCGGTGCTGCTGCTAGTGGCAGTGCTGCTACTAGTAACGATGCTGCTAATGGAGGTGATGGAAATGCGGAAGGAGGAGCAGGAGGGACGGGAGGGACTGGAGAGACGGCAGGAGGAGGGGAAGGGGCGGCAGAGGGAAAGGCGGTAGTGCGCGTGTGGGGGCCCAGCGGACCAGAGGAGGTGACGGGGGGAACGGCGAAGCTGCTGCTGGAAGACGTGAAGTGGCACCCCAGGTGGGCTGATGCTGCAGGTGCTCTCACAAAAGCCCTCACAACCCTCACATCTCTCACAACCCTCACATCTCTCACAACCCTCACATCTCTCACAACCCTCACACCTCTCACAACCCTCACACCTCTCACAACCCTCACACCTCTCCCAACCGTCACATCTCTCACAACCCTCACAGCCTTCACAGCCCTATCGGTATGTTATATTGGTGCAGCTGAATGCTTGCAGGGGTTGACGGGGGGAACGCCGAGGTCACTGCTGGAAGGCGTGAAGTGGCACCTTAGGTGGGTTGGCTTACTGCTGCGGCTTCCAGGGACGTGACAGTGGCAGCACAAACGCTGCAGGTGGCCAAAGTAGCCGCTTCTCCTCCAAACCTGTGCAAACCCTCCCTCCTTCCTTCCATGTACCTCCCCCCGGCTCCTTCTCCCTCTCCCAAGGGTGTGGCAGCACGGGCGCTGCATGTGGCTAAGGCCGTGGAGAGGCCCACGAGCCGGGTGCCTTGGTGTGGAGAACGGCCCTTCTTTTTTCCGCTTCCCCCTGTTCCTCATCCGTGCAAGCCCAACCTCCTCGCCTCCCTCCCACCATTCCTCGTCGTATGTCTGCCCCTGCACTTCTCTTCCCCCCCAGGGGTGTGGCAGCACGGGCGCTGCATGTGGCCAAGGGCGTGGAGAGGCCCACAGGCCGGGTGACCTATGCGGTGGTGCTGCAGGTGAGTTCTCTCTGTGGTGATAACTGCAGGGTGCAGCAGTCTGTCTGTATGTGGCTAAGGGCGTGGAGAGGCCCACAGGCCGGGTGACCTATGTGGTGGTGCTGCAGGTGAGGTCATTTTGTGCTGATAACTGCAGGGTGCAGCAGTCTGTGTGTATGTGGCTAAGGGCGTGGAGAGGCCCACAGGCCGGGTGACCTATGCGATGGTGCTGCAAGTGAGGTCATTTTGTGCCGATTTGTGACATGCGCCACAGGCCCACACTCAAGCTTATCTTGGGTGTAAACCTAGGGAAACAAACCTTGACTCCTAGTTGAGGGGTTGGGCCAAACAAACCTTGACTCCTAGTTGAGGGGTTGGGCCAAACAACCTTGACTCCTAGTTGAGGGGTTGGGCCTAACAAACCTTGACTCCTCCCTGTGCTGTGTCCCCAAACAAACCCGAATTGTTGGGTTCACAATTATTGGAGGGCCCTGTGATTGTGCTCCCACTTGACCACGGTAATTGGCCCCTCACATTTTTGTGAGCCTCCAACTGATTGGAGGGGGTCAAAATTGTGCCACGGCTTGACCCAACCCCATCTATTCGTCCAGACTATGTAAACCCCTTTTTCCTACTCATTGAAATATTTCAGTTTATCACAACCTATGCAGTGATGCTGCAGGTAAACCAGTCTTATATAAATGTAAGTCGCTAGTGGAAGAGTTGCTGCGAGGATAATGTAACTGCAGGGTGTTGCATAGTGATAGTGGTGCAGAGTGATGCAGAGTAGTAGTGGTGCATAGTGATAGTAGTGCTCAACACAAGGGTGTGGCAAAGCGATGCACGCCACGCCTTGGCTGGCACAGCGCTCCTCTTTGGCCTCCCAGGGTGACTTTTGAGTCGACTCAAAAGTCGTCACCTCGTTACCAAAGCGATGCACGCCACGCCCTGGCTGGCACAGCGCTCCTCTTTGGCCTCCCAGGGTGACTTTTGAGTCGACTCAAAAGTCGTCACCTCGTTACCAAAGCGATGCTCGCCACGCCCTGGCTGGCACAGCGCTCCTCTTTGGCCTCCCAGGGTGACTTTTGAGTCGACTCAAAAGTCGTCACCTCGTTACCAAAGCGATGCACGCCATGCCCTGGCTGGCACAGCGCTCCTCTTTGGCCTCCCAGGGTGACTTTTGAGTCGACTCAAAAGTCGTCACCTCGTTACCAAAGCGATGCTCGCCACGCCCTGGCTGGCACAGCGCTCCTCTTTGGCCTCCCAGGGTGACTTTTGAGTCGTCTCAAAAGTCGTCACCTCGTTACCAAAGCGATGCACGCCATGCCCTGGCTGGCACAGCGCTCCTCTTTGGCCTCCCAGGGTGACTTTTGAGTCGACTCAAAAGTCGTCACCTCGTTACCAAAGCGATGCTCGCCACGCCCTGGCTGGCACAGCGCTCCTCTTTGGCCTCCCAGGGTGACTTTTGAGTCGACTCAAAAGTCGTCACCTCGTTACCAAAGCGATGCTCGCCACGCCCTGGCTGGCACAACTCTCCTCTTTGGCCTCCCAGGGCGGGGCGTGCATCGCTTTGCCCTTACTCCACCAACTTGCAGCAGCCCTGCCGCGCTGACCTGATTCGTCTCAAACTCACCTGAACCTCTTCTCCCCCTCCCCCACCCCCACACTCTCCTCTCCTCTCATCGCACTCAGGGCGTGTGTCGCTTTGTCATCCTCTCCATCAACTCGCGAGGGCCGTACACATTGTCGGAGTCTTAAGGCATCTTACAGCAACTCGCCTGTTGGGATCTTGAGGCGACTTACTTGCCTCACCCTCTCCTCCCCTTCCTCCTCTCCTCGCCCCAGGGCGTGTGTCGCTTTGCCATCCTCTCCATCAACTCTCGAGGGCCGTACCACGTGGCTCGGGTGTCCCAACTGGATGCCACACCACAGGGTTAGTCAAAGGCACCAGTTTTAAGACGTCTCAAAACTTCCTTCAGGTTTGCATTATGAGTTTGGAAGGGCTAAAGCTCATACCAGAATTTCGTAGTTGAGTAAGAGTCGTGTGTGTGTGTGTGTGTGTGTGTGTGTGTGGGTGTGGGGGTGTGTGTGTGTGTGTGTGTGGGTGGGTGTGGGTGGGTGTGTGTGTGTGTGTGTGTGTGTGTGTGTGTGTGTCCGTGCACGATTCCTGGCACTTTTGAGAATTCTCAAAAGTGCCTCGTGCCTCGATTTTCGAGACGTCTCAAAACACGCTTACTTTCCCGCGGATTTTATATGGAGAAGAATTCTCCTAAGCTGCAGCTCGCCTAGTCTCATGGCTGGAGAATTCTCAAAAGTGCCTCGTGCCTCGATTTTCTACTCCCCACAGAGGCAAACCGCGTGCGAGGAAGCACTGAGGTTATGCACTTGTCTCTATGATATCTTGCTCCTCGATTCATCATAGCCTCTTTTTCGTCCGTCTTCATTCCTCGCGTCGCCTCTTCATCCCTACAGAGGAAGATTGGGTGCGAGGTGATGGCAGGATGCTGTGATGTGCATATCCGGCTCATTACTTCAACTCCTCCCCTCGTCAACCCACAGAGGTGGACCGCGTGCGAGGTGACGACGAGGTTCGGCGGCTGGGAAGGCAGCTGCTGCGAGTGGTGGAGGAGCTGGCGCGGGTGATGGAGCAGGTGAGAAGGGGTTTGGTTGCTGAGGGTTAACGATGACATAAATAGGTGGCTTCTTCTGAGTCTATTCAAGGTGAGGCGGCTGGGAAGGCAGCTGCTGCGGGTGGTGGAGGAGCTGGCGCGGGTGATGGAGCAGGTGAGTGAATCAGGGGGCTTTATTATTGAGGCACCCAACCCAGGAAAGAATAAGTCGCATTCTGAGGCACAACGATCATGCCGAGGCTAGCAGACGTGCTGCTACTGCCACCATCTCCTCGAGGAGCTCGCATTCTTTCCATCCACTCCCGCTCTCCTTACCCCTCTCCTTGTTCCAATCCCCCTTGCCCCCTCCACCCACGTGCTCGTGGCCAGCGTGGAGCGCGGGCTGGCAGGCTGGCAGCTCACTCATTTGCTGCCCCATCTCCCCTTTCCCACTCCCAGGAGAAGCAGCGGCAGGTGACAGGGCTGAGGAAGGTGGCAGCAGAGTCCCAGCAGGCATCGGCCGGGGAGATGCAGAGGCTGGCAGATATACTCGTGGCCAGCGTAGAGGGCGGGCTGGCAGCGCGCCTGGCGATGCTGGACGCGGTG